TACATTAGATGCTAAGTTATCTGCAGGTCCCAAGGTGAGGATTCTCTATCATGATCAATCATGCTAATGCTACCTTGTTCCCATGCTCCAGAGCAGGGTCAGTTCAAGTTCTGTTATGTCAGTAGTTGAACTGATGCTCTCTTCTCTGTGGTTTTAATGATTTGGCTATTTTTGTAGCTATATTTAGGAAGTCCAGCAGGTCTCAAGGAAATCATTTGAAGGGCCATGGGAAGGATTAATCGAATATAGCTTGGTATCTTTCCATTAGTGGAATCCATAAAGCTGAAAAGGAGGATTCTAACATAGGAAGATCCTTTGCTTGGGATCCTATAAAAGGGAACCCACCAAACTGCCTGTTTCTTTGTTAATGCAGAGGAAGGACTTGAAAGAATTATGTAGCCTCCAGTAAGCCTAAGCTGACAAACATACAGAACTGGAGCATTGCTATCACTTTTGCCATCACAGAAAAGATGTTCCAGGTGTTTTTTTGTTTTTTAATGTTCCACTGCTCTTTGCAGGAAACAAACTTCTCAGTCCTGGTGGTGATGGACAAACATCGTATTTTTCCTTCTCCAAGACAGGGTAATTGTGCTTCATACATGGAAGCTAGTGGTCATTTTTAATATTTAGGCATCTGAGTTGGAGATTAAAATTTATAAAGAGCAGTGTGATCCCAGGAAGAAGGATGGGAAGGCACTTCTACTTAGAAATGCAATAAAACAGATGGGCCCTCCCATTCCAGATTTATGTGTTAAAATATTTCAGACACAAGGGTGCCTGGGTGGCTCGGTTGGTTAAGCGTCTGACTTTGGTTCAGGTCATGATCTCACAGTTCATGGGTTCAAGTCCTGCATTGGGCTCCATACAGTGCAGATCCTCCTTGGGATTCTCTCTCTCCCTCTCTCTGCTCCTTGCTCATGTTCTCGCTCTTAAAAAAAAAAAATATATATATATATATATATACACACACACACACACACACACGTTTTATATACATATAATATACGTGTATGTTTTATATATGTATATATGTGTATAAATACATATATGTGCATATATACACATATATATATGTGTATATATATATATTTCAGATACCTTGTAATGCTGGAGACCTACAGAAGGAAATTTATCTCTCTGTCCCTCTCATACACGCACACACTTATTTTGCATTGCACACTTATACATCATGAAGATAATTCCAGAGGACAAGATTCAATTTTGTTTCTAAAAGCCTAGAAAGTAACCTTAGGACCCAGCATGTTGACTAATCAAATAATGGCAAGGAAACGCAGTACAATCCCAAGTGTGGGAAAATAATGATAACTACCATGATAATCATTATCTTGAAATATCCTCACTTTGAAGAGATGATCTAATTACTCCCCTGCACATCCCTCATGGGAAAGGTGTTATTATTGCCATCCTGAAGACAAATATAATGTCTACTCTCTATTTACAAGTGTCATTTCTTCAGAGAAGCTTCACTATTTGCTTTTTCTTCATAATGAGTCTTAGCCCAAATTAAGTAATTTTGTAGAATTAGAGGCAGAATAATGTTTCTATAAATAATTAAAATCCATGTTTTCCAAACTGCTTTAATCATATATCCTATGAAATTACAAACTGTCCAAAAATATAGAGGATCATATACAAAATAAATATAACCAGAAACTCCAGTGTTTTTCCTGAGCTTCCGTGGGGTATTTTTGCAACTCTCCCATCTTTGGGATGGGGAGTTGGGAAGAAGAGGAGTTGGAGAAATTAACAGGATTCTCTTCTTCCTCTTTCTCTCCAATAAGCCCTAACAACAGCTGCTCTCACAGTGAGTTCTTCTGGACCCAAAGCATAGGGTGAAAGGGAAATGAGAAGAAAAGTTAGAGGGGAAAAAAGAAGAAATGGATAAGCAAATAAGAAAGGAGTGGGTAATGGAAACACTGAGTGGTTGTCCTTAAATATCAGTGTCATGACCCAGGAGGCTTCCGAAGGGACTGTATTAGTTTGCCAGGGCTGCTGTAACAAAAGACCACAGCCTGGGTAGCTTAAACAACAGAAATTTCTTTTCTCACAGTTCTGGAAGATAAATGTCCAAGACCATAGTGTTGGTGGGTTTGGTTTCTCCTGGGGCTTCTCTCCTTGACTGGGGGCAGCCCAGCCTTCTTGCTGTGCCTTCACATGGTCGTCTTTATTCGCATGCATCCCTGGTGTATGTCCCAATATCCTCCTCTTTTTTTTTTATTTTTATTTTTTTTTTTTTTAATTTTTATTTTTTTTAACGTTTATTTATTTTTTTGGGGACAGAGAGAGACAGAGCATGAACGGGGGAGGGGCAGAGAGAGAGGGAGACACAGAATCGGAAACAGGCTCCAGGCTCCGAGCCACCAGCCCAGAGCCCGACGCGGGGCTCGAACTCACGGACCGCGAGATCGTGACCTGGCTGAAGTCGGCCGCTTAACCGACTGCGCCACCCAGGCGCCCCCCAATATCCTCCTCTTAAAAGGATACCAGTCTGATTAGATTAGATGAGGGCACCCTAACAGCCTCATTTTAACTTAGCCATCTCTTAAAGGCCCTATTTCCAAATACAGTCACACTCTGAGCTTAGGGCTTCACCTTAAAAATCTGGGGGAGATAATTCAGCCCATAACATGTGCTTTTATTTAAAATCATCTCCTTTCAGGCAAGATGTTACAAATATGTAATCAGTGTACAACATGACACTGAAGGAGATGGGTGTTAAAAGATAAACTGAGGCACATTAAAAATTTCAAGAGTTTATTGGAGCAAGTATGTATTGGAATCAGGCAGAGCCAACCCAAAGTGGTTTAGGGGCACTCAGCCAATAGGAGCTAGGGGAAAGGCCTTTATACAGCAGAGGAGGAAGCAAAGCAAGGAAATTACTTGATTGGCTGTCGCTTAAGTGGTTGCCTTATTTGGTAAAGCCCAGGTGGCCGCCTGTGATTGGTTGCTCTAAAATTGTTTTCTCAGACAAGACTGCATTTATGGAAATTGATCTGGTTTAGGTTTTGATTTGCTTACGTAGATTACCAAAACATTAGAGCCACCCTAGTCCAAGGGCCTCCTTCAGTGACTTTAACATGGTTAATAATGCTTTCTTACTCTAGTTAGTCACACATTTTACAACCCGCTGGTTGACTTGAGTTCCCTACCCACCTAGTCTCCAAAGGTGATTCCATTCATCTGCTGGGAGCTTCCTCCCAACACTTTGTTGGAGATGGTCCAAAGTCTCCAAGGGGAGTCTGTTTTCTCCACAGATCCCCAAAGGTTGTTTGTATGATGAGCGTGTGCTCATCAAAGAGAGAGCAAGCCATTGCCTCGTCTCTCTTCTGTGAGGTGACAGGTGACAAATGGAGACTTTCTTCTCGTGTTTTGTGAGACACCCTCTTCCCTCAAAGCTCCTCTGCTGTAAGGGTTTTCCCAGTAATGATCTGCACCAGATGGCTTCACCACCGGAGTGCCTCACAGAGTGCACACGCATTTGCTCCTTTCTGGTAGTCTCTGGTCACACAGTCAGATGGGAAGTCTGACAGCCTCACCTGCTGCTGCCAACTGCATTAGTTGGACAAAGGGGATCTTTGGTGACAAGATTTGTGGCAGTTGGGGATGAACAAAGTCCTCAAGGAGTTCTTCCCAAAATGGCACAAAACACATGAAATTATATTGGCCACCACTTCAAGAAGAGTTGACATTCAGTATCCCAATTTTCAAACATGTGAATGAGAACTGTATCCCATTCTAGAAGAAGTCTGTTTTAGAATGCTATTATTGAGTTCCTGGTTCCTTTAAATAATAAGCTTGGTGCATTTCTTTATGCACTGATTGTAGGATGTAATTGGCAGAATTGTGCAGTGTGTGTATATATTATGTAATTAAGTAGTTATATAAAGTCAGTGGAAATTCATGCATGCATTACTTCATTTAACAAGCACTTAGCCAGCTTATCACAGATGCTGGAGATGGGACCAAACACTAGGGACACAAAAATGAACAAACTCCTGCCCTCGACAGGCTCACAGTCAACTGGAAAAGAAAGTGAATGGACAGTCTGGAGAGAGACTGGTTGTTGAGTGTGCATCAAAATCGCCTGTGCCACCCCCCTTCCACTCCATCCCCAGTCCTCTAGTTTCTGATTCTGCAGGGCCAGGAATTTGCTTTTCTAACAAGTTCTCTGGTGATGCTGATATTGCTGGCTGAGGGACCACAGTCTGAGAACCCTGATCTAGTGTCACAAGTGTCGGGGTGGGGGGGGGTGGTTTGGAAGTACTGGCTGGAGGGCAAGGGGGCCATGAGAGGTTTCACAAAGGAAGTGAGTTTTAAGGGATGAGTGGGGAAGGGTAGGGAGGGAGGGATTAGGACATGCCAAACACATTTAGTTCTAAAGGACAAAAGTTGGAGAAAGTACATATGGTTTGAAAACAAATGCAGATGATTCCATTTGGCTAGGATGAAGTTTGAGTTTGAAGTAATTGCAAGAGATAAAGCTGAAGAAATGTGTAGGGCACAGAGCTGTGATTAAGGGCCTTGTTTGAACACTGTCCTGTAGGTGATTATTTCACCATGGATCTCCAGAGCCAGCCTTCAAGCTGGAAGGAAAGAACTTTGGCCAAAGGGCTCTGTCATAGTTACCCTGCATCAAAAGAAGCTTCTTTCTGAGCCTGGCACAGGGCTTCCCAGTCTGTTGGAAGAAATCCTTTTCATTTCTCTGAAGGTGATAGGACAGTAGAAAGGGTGTGTTGATTGAGTATAACCAGAACTGGGTGGGGCTTAAGTATTTGCCAGTGACCGGTGAACCACTGTGAGGGGGTATGTCAGTAGTTTAATAATTAATTGACTAATTATGATTGGCTCTTGGAAAACCCTAAGCTTCAGTCACCTCTAATGACCTCCTGGTTACTCAGGCCTAGGAAGGAGGCAGTTGAAGAGAGGAAGAGCCCAATTAGTGCAGGTTGTGATGAAATGTGCTTCATTCCTATCTCCAGGGGAAGATGACGACGACGATGAATGTGGGGAGGAGAAGCTACCCTCCTGTTTCGATTATGTGATGCATTTCCTGACTGTGTTCTGGAAGGTCCTCTTCGCCTTCGTCCCCCCTACAGAATACTGGAATGGCTGGGCCTGTTTCATTGTCTCCATCCTCATGATCGGCATACTGACAGCTTTCATTGGAGACCTGGCTTCCCACTTCGGATGCACCATTGGCCTGAAAGATTCTGTGACTGCGGTAGTGTTCGTCGCGCTTGGAACTTCGGTACCAGGTAGAGAATGCATTCGTATATGATTTCCCCCAGACGTGGAAGCCCATGTGCCTTCCTGACCTTTTCTTTCTCACAATTTCAAGGACTGTGCTAACAAACCAGGCTTATGAAAGACAAGAGCACAGAGATATAAATAATGTCACTGCCAGAAAACTGTCATGGCAGTTTTCAAGGTTAGAACGCTGGCCAGTATCATCATGGTGACAGGAAAGCATTCCCAGAGGGACTGCCTGGCCTGCGTGGAGAGAGCACATTGGTTTGATGGATAGATCGATAGATCAGCTTCCCATTACAATTAGCACTTTCAAAAACACGAAATTACAGGATCATCTTCAAGCACAAAATTTGTCTTTTCGATATTTACTAATGTTTGGATAATTTCCATGAAACTGTATGGTTGGATACCTGAGATAAATACCTACTGAAAACCTGATACAATATTCTCTTGACCCAAATGTTAATGGGAATAAGTTTACAAAAAAAGTCGACATTGAGCAGGACAGGGAAAAAGTAATTCTGGCCAAAGCGAGCAGGGCAGCTACACATTTCGTGGATGTCCCTTCATGCATTCCTTATAAGCTGAATTCTTCTTCCCACCTACAACTGTAGTTCATTATATTTGCTCAGACTTCTAAGAAATCCTCCTCCCAAACTTGACATTGACAGCAGTAATTTTCAAACTTTGGTGCGCATCAAAATTACCTGGGAGCCTGTTTAAAACAATGCAAATACCCTGAACCTACCATCAACCTGAGGAGTCAGAAGATCTGGAGGACAGGCCCAGACAATGTGTGTTTTAAGTTCACAGGTGATTCTGGTGCACATCAGAGCCTACTGTAACTGAAGTTCTGGATCCAGTCCCCAGCACTAGTTGACATCATGGCAGATATACAGCTAACCCTGGCTTTTGGTTTTGAGTCTGAAAACAAGTACAGCTTAAATCATGTATATATCTCCTCACTGGAAGTTACTAGCTGTTCTTCTGCACTCCGACATTTATCATCTCAGTGACTGTGGACAAGTCTCTGAGCCTTCATTTGTAAAATCGGGAGAGTCCTATATAACTTGCAGAATTGTGGTACGGACTGGAGAAGACACCTATAAATTATGCATCTACTAAAACATTTGAAACAGAAGGAATTTGATTCAAACAGCAGTTTTTGTTAATTAGTTATTTATGAATGGCTGAGGACGGTCTGACCGGTGTAAGTTTGGACAATTCATCTTTGAGTAACCGGGAATAAACTGTCCAGATTTATACTGGTGAGCTATATTACACATGGTATTATCCAACTGATGGACCATTTGGGAGTCCTGATCAAGGGGTCTGGTGTAGTTCCGGTGTCCAACTGAGATGATGGAGGCGCCAGAGGATCTAGGGGGTACTTTCACTCCTGCCATGGAGCAGGACTATGCAGACTTCCATTTGACTGCTGATCCTCGGGGGTGGGGGGTGGGGGGGGGGGCAGGAAGCAGACACCCTCTCAACCCCAGCTGTTTCTAGCAGTTTCCATTTTGATCTTTACTTTGAATTTTTTCCTGAAAATAACCAGAAATTTAGCAAGCAGGAGGAGAACCTTAAAATATTCTTTATTGCGAGTTGTTCTGTTTAGAGAACAACTGTACCAAAAGGAACAAAACATAACGGCTATCCGTTGCTCTATCTCAGGTTACTATAGGAAACTATGCTTTGGAATCTACTCTCCCTAAGGCTGGTGCTCAGGTTAGCACGCACTGTTGGCCCTGGGTTTAACCCTCAAGGAGAATATGCGCAAATTAGGATAACGAAAGCAAAACTTAGGCCTCTCGTCAGTATTACTCAAAATCAGCTTACCTCTCTGGAAACGCAGCCGGTGGTCCTACCAAATGCATCTCCTGTTTTCAAAAGGATCAGAAGAAATGATTTTACTAAGTCAAATCCTTGTTTCTAAATATTTACATTTTTTAAAAATCTCCCAGCTCATTTCAATACCTCAAAACTGGCTCCTTTCCCTATATACCAGTCTTCCAACGTGCTTGTGTGCCTCTCTTGTTTTAAACTCTTGAAAAGTGTGGCAGCCATACCATATCATTAAGTTTGTTTGTTTGTTTGTTTCTGGAACGTGAAATGTGGATGACACTAAACCTCAGTGTTTGGAAGGGTCATTGTTCTGCCACTTAAAACCAGCTCAGAACCCAGGTAGGGGCATCAAGAGGTAAGAAAGCCTGTTGGGGAGAATACAACAGAATCATTAGCTGTCAGAACGGTTTCCCTTCACCGCCAAAAATTCTTCCCATAGGAAAACAGATTCCTTCGTTCTGCTACCTGGAGAATTCCTGTAATTTGCTGCAATATTAGCTGCGCAGCATGCTCCCCACACAATATATTCACAGGTAATCTCATCATATTTATATAAACAGACATCCCCCCCAAAAAAGCTGTGCAAATTGAACGAGATGCTGAGCAAACATAATATTTCTGACTTGATTCTTCACCCCTGATGATTCAGAGAATGCCTTATTATAGCTTCTGACTCCTCAAAAAAAAAAAAAAAAAAAAAAAAAAAAAAAAAAAAAAGATGCTATTGTTCCCAGATGACAAAGCCCAGTTGGTACAGGTAGAAGAATAAAGGAGAGACTAATTCTTTTCACCGAAAGCGTACCATTAATCGGCACTGGTCCTGAGAAGCCACTTTTTCTCTAGGTTGATGTCTTGACACTTTTCCTAAAGCAGAAGGGTTCCCGGCTAGTGTTCGATGGGCTGCTTGCCTCTTTGTGGTGAGACCCTTGAACTCTCAGCTTGGGGGCCTGCCCTAAGCAGGATTAAGTATTTAAATATCTCAAAGTTGTTTTTTTTTTTTATATTTTTATCATATTTTTCAAACTCTATGGGGGGAAAAGAGCTTCTCCCTCATGCCACTGGTATCAAATATTCATTCTAGCCTATTGGCAGAGGAGGACCCCTGAGGGTCTGCACTCCCCCTCAACATTAGGTATGCTGAGATGACCTTAAGGACTCACACCTGCTAGCAGAGCAAGAGCCTTCTTTTCCAGAGAAGAGGGGCTTCCTGAATAGTCTTCTCCCACCTCTAAATGGTGGCATAGGCAGAGCCTAGTCTCCAGTTCCCCCTTCCCCATCTGGGCCCATCACACCAGTCTCCATGGCTTAAATGCCGCCAACGTGCCAATGATTACCAAACGTGTATCTCCAGTCTCCACTTTCCTGAGTTCTAGATTCATATGGCAACTGCCCTCCCTATATTGATGCTGGATGTGGAAGTTGGGGCTCCAAATCACTATGTGCAGAGTGGAACGGCTTTATTTCCACTGCCCAGCTGCCTTATCCTTCAGCCAAACCTATTCCTTCCAGATCTTGCCTTTTTTCAGGAAAACAGTATCATCATCTACCCAGTGTCCTTGATTTCTTTTTCCTTGTCCCCACAGTCAAGCCATCCTTAGGTCCTGCAGATCTTACCACTACGGTACATCATGATGGGACCACTTAGTTCTCTATAACCAAGTCCAGACAGGCCATTCTCTCTGACTCCTTCAGTAGCTTCTTGTCTCCATGCTTCTAGGGATTGTTTTAAGATGGCAATCAGACCGCATATCTGCTTACCATCTTCCAAGGGCTTCCTACTTCACTGAAGATAAACTTCAAAAGTATCCTCCTGGCTTACAAAGAAAGCCCTATGTGACTTGGCCCTTGCCTGTCTTTCCGTTGTTTTCCTCCTTGTTTTTCAGCCCCACTGGCCTTTTTATTGTCCTCCACACATCAAGTTCGTTCCTTTCTCAAGGTTGCACTAGCTGTCAAAAATGCTCTTCCCCCTCCATTTACCCAAGACTGGTTCTTTGTCTTCAATTATAGTTCATTCTAAATATCACTTCCTCGAAGAGACCTTTCCTAACCACACAATGTGAAGTGGTTCAAACAATTCATTTGTGTTATATCACCCTTTTTCCATAGAGTCTTTATTACCTTCTGGATTTTTTGGTTTATTTTTGAATGTTATTGTCTACCTCTCCCCACTGAAATGTAGGCTTCATGGGAGCAGAAACCTTGCCCTTTTAATGTCTCTCTCTCATATTTTTGGCTTCGAAAATGATGCCCAGATAACAGATAATACAATTGCATGTGCCCATGTGTTTGGCCGTGTATGTGAATGTGTTGTGTCTATAAATGAACGGACAAATCATCCATTGACACTTTACTGTGAGTACTCAGATGACTTTCTTAACACCTTCTAGAGACAAGTAAGAAAGTTATGATTGAGGGAGATGAGCAGTAGATACTTTTATAGTGTGGATTATTCTTGAAGAATGTATTTGGGCAGGTTATTGTAGTAAGAAGGGCAAGGATAACTTGAGAGCAGTGAGTCTCCTCTTTCATAATGTGGCTATGATGGGAAGGGTGATGAGGGGCAAGATATTTTTTGTCTCTTTCTTCATTCTCTTCTCTAGCATCGCTGATTTTCAGATCCAGAACTCAGGCCAATACTTTTAAAACTTTAGGTATATTTTGTGTAGTACTAATTAGGCATTCTGCAGTAGCCTGACTTGGGACCATAACTAGGTTATGTCAGATTGTTTCTATGGGAAATAGGCTCGAAATCTCAAAGAAATTAATGCAAGAAGTTTAGAAGCCAGCCATTTTTGTATGAGGCACCACCTATAGCACATACTGTTTTTGCATACATTTACTTGGATGAAATTGGGTACATTGGGCCAAAATATTCCAGCTTCTATATCACATTCCAAACACAGGTGTTCCTTGCATCTCTTGCTTCTATTGGAATCAAGTAGAAGCAAGCATTCTTCCTTACGGAGAAAACTCTTAGATGTTAATGAGTTGGGAATATTTTGACTTCACTCAGTCACCTTGGTCGTGGTCCATACGTCTTGATTAGGCTTGTGCCTGAAGCTGGCCTACTGCCCCTTGTATCTTCCCATTAGGAGCTGTTTACTCCTAGGACCACAACAGTTTTAAAATTGGGCATTCTAAGGCTGCTTCTTAGCCTCTG